AGTCAACATTCTTTCTTCATCTATAAAGAGTGGTTGTTTGCACATACCCAGTTAGTTTTCTTGTGTAAGCACTTTTGTTAGTTTTTTGTTAGTCTCACATTTGGTGCACTAGCCGGTTTCTCTTCTTGGTTCCGCGTGATATTATCATGGACCAAGTTGAGAGTGTGCTTAATAAAATAGCAATGAAAAGTATCCGATCCTTTGGTGGCAAATCAATTGATAACGTCGATAACTGGTTACGTCTGCTCAATTCCAAGTTTGATATCTGTGAAGTTTCTGATCCTCTCCGGTTAAAATGGACAATCGCATATCTGTCAGATGAAGCTTTGGATGGTATAATAGACATGCCCGACAGTTCGAAACATGGAATGATCTTCAAGTAGCTCTACGACACATGTTCCCATCACAACCTCCTCCCTCCAGAGCTCTTCTTCTCCAACACATAATCGACCGCAACGTTGAACCTTTCACCCATTATAATGCGGATATGATGAAATTATGTGATCGTTACGACCTTTTACTGTCCGAAGTTCGACGATTCGATCATCTCAGATATGGAATGCAGCGGTCGCTACGTATGAAATGCGTACTGCATGATATAAAATCCTCAGGTGAATTATTAGCCTTAGTTCAACGCATTGAACAAGATGAAGAACTCATAAAAATTACACACCGGAACACAATTACGACGCTATCTCCACCCACCATCGACTCTGAACCGAAACCTTCTACTCTGCCGTCTCACGTTTGCAACACCATCGCTTCTCGTCCGATCTCCAATCGTCTTCCTCCACGCCAGTGTTACAACTGTCGAAAAGCAACATACCTCGTACGTCAATGTCCTACTAACAAACGATCAACGTAACCATTTAGATCGACAATAGTACCCTCCCAGGTCGAAGAATCGTATGAGCGGATCGTACAAGATCAGAGATGATCATACTGTATGATCGTGCATGAGCAGATATGATCTTTAATAATCATATTACTTCATGCATATGAAATGATACGATCGACCTACGAATCGTGGGCCCGGAAAAGTCACGGGGTTCGGATTATACAGCTACCATACGTACGATCTTATCTGATCTTACAAGATCGTACGTACGAAATGTTATGATTCCAAAAGGTCGTACGTATGATTGTGTACGATCAGATGCGATCTTACGTAGAAATAACACATGATTCGTACTGTTTCTATCTAGCTAGTCTGCAGCTTCTGTTCCATGTTAGTTTACTCTCAATCTTTTGTATCTCTGAAGAGATACAAAAGTTGCTTGGTTTAAAAGCTGTTTAATTGTTTATGTTCATAAGATAAATCAAAACAGTATACAAAAATAAAAATTAAAAATAACGTATACGTGAAAAATTTATAAAAATCAACAATGAATAACAATAATAAAATAAAAATAATAAAATAACCCTGTCTAGTCCGTCTGACTGTCTGTGTTCATCGTTGTACTTGCTGCTGGAGGTAGTGGAGTGGATAACATTATTTGTTGCTGCTTCTTTAACTTTATTCTTGAATCACATAATAATTTCGATAATGTTCGTTGTAGACCATTTTTGTAAAATGCTAGTTGTTTCCAAAGTGTTATTTTGTAACTTTTGTGTTATTTTTTATTGTTGTGTGTTGTACGCGAGTTGTTCTTTTTTTGCGCGTCTCAAATGTATAGATGTATTGTACTTTAATTGTAGAGAATATAGACTCAGTCAAGTGCAAATCAACGAAAGCTGGAAGTTTTTTGTTGCAGAATTGTAGTAAGTTATCGCTTTCTTGTTGTTGTTCATTTAATGTTTCTGTCTTATATATGTCAATACCATGTTTTTTCTTTTCTTAGTTGGCTTTAATAAAAAGTGAATTGGCATGCTTCGCTATATTTTCTTGGAAGAAAATCACGAAACTGAAGTCTTCTAATTAGAAAACGAAACATCTATCTTTTGTACTATATGCTCAAAGTAACCGTTATATGCATTAACCGACAGCAGACTTATTCGACTATGTTTATCACTGTTAACAAAACCAAAGGGAATAAACCTTGTCAGGACTGTCGGGACGAGGTTTTTTCGAGGGTTTTTCCATACAATATATATTCAAGCGTACAGTCATTTTTATCCAGAGGAGAAGTTTGTAATAGTCAGAAGGTAGTTATGATTATTATTGTAATCTTTGATTGTATTCTTAATCTCTTCTCCTTCCTTTATACCCTTCGTTTCCTTGCATTTTTATTATTATAATATAGATGAATAAAATATAACTGAGTCATCAAAGTGATATTATTCTAAATGCTCACCTGATATTCCCTTAATCCTTTACTGAAAAATTATAGTGAAAGTCGCAGAAAGTTGCTTTTATTTCTGTCCGGTTCAGCTCCCTCTCCCAGCTCTACACGACCTTTCTTTGCAGAGTTATAGAATTTACAAGAAAAACCCTAAATTTCTTTTTCCTTTTTCTTTCTGTAGCTCCGAGGTGACAATGAACATTTAGGGCTTTTCTTGTAAATTCTATAACTTTGCAAAGAAAGGTCGTGTAGAGCTGGGAGATATCTCGTTGTAATCAGAAATTTATGGACTAGAATTAAGCCTCATTAAGAAAGCTTTTGGTTGTTCTTTAGAGTTTCTCGAAAATTGATTTTCCAGAAAACCGGCCTTTGAAGGTCTAGCAGCACCAGTCATGGTGATATTCGGAATCAGCATCGTCGACTACCTATAGTCCACTAGGTTTCGTTCAAAAAGCGATTATCAGTTGGGGTACTTCCCTTGTAAGTACCATTATATCGTACACGATCGTTTTCTGTTACATACAGAATAATTTCATTTCGAACGAAATCCGTACTATCTGAAACCCTTCAAGTGTGCTATAGCTAAACTTGCATTTGTTCTCTCGTTGTAGAGATTGCCGTGGCACACAAGAAACATTCTATAGGAAACAAGTTCCAAATTTCTTTTTTTCTAGCAGCACATTCGCGTTTCTCAGTTCTGCTTTACGTCGCAATTGAGCTGTGGTTTTATGCGTACAAAGTGCTCCTGTACAGAGTGCTTATGATCCTGTATCACCCTTTCTTTCAGCAAAGGGAACAATAGGCGTTATTGTAGCAGAAAAATGGACCAATAGAGCTCGAGTTCGACTTATATCAAAATTTTAATTAGTTCAAAATGTTTGAAAAACAAAATCCATGCATATATATATATATATATATGATAATTAAGGGTGTTACAGCCGTCTTAGTATGGAAATTTGTTTATCTTATCCTGCCCTTTACGCAATCTAATGTTATTTACTATAAACGTGATATATCTAAAAACAAGAGCTGCTGCTGGTGCACATCCCAAGTCGAAGGAGAAATAAAAGATGTTTTCTTTGGTCTGACTCGAGGCTTTGATCTCAGAAGTGGGGGAGTAATGGACCTCTTTTATGCACGGTCCTGAGGTCCTGTTAATACATTTTCTTGTTTAAAATTCAATCAAACGGATATCAGTTATATGGATGCTGATCGGATGAATGATGGTATTGTTGAGTGTGTGGGTGCAGCTGATGAACGGATGAATCATTGTTCAGTAGAATATCCATTAGAAATTACTCGTCGATTTCGACGCTGGAATAGCTCAAAGTGTATCGGGTTAGAAGATGTATGCGATGGTATTAAAGATTGTCCATTAAATGATGATGAACATTTGTGTCCGTGAAGAGAGAACACCACGAATTGTGCAGCAGGAACACTGGTGACGTGGACTAATAGTATTACAAATCGATACACATGTTGGCCAAAAAGTAAAATTTGTACTAAACATACGACGAGTATTGGTATTAAATACGTTTGTGATCTTTATCCTAGACGGGTTTATCGTTCCTTTTCGTTTCTCGGCGTCAATCACTATCCAGCATTGACTGCTTACACAAGTGTGAAGCAATTGACATCATCGGTACCAGCACCTGTTGCAGTTCCATTGAATGCCAAGGATTCACACTCTTGCAATAAAGGAATTGTAATCATGTCAGATGGTATGCGAGAATGTCTTTGTTCGCCATCATTTTATGGTACATTTTGTGAATATCAAAGTGAGTGTCTAACAGTTCATCTGAAAATCGAAACATTGCGCACATTACGTCAATATATTTTCCGATTCCTTATTTGCCTTTTAATTCAAAATACTAATAATGTAGTCTCGTGCGACGAAATCGTTCATGTAACATATATACATAAACTTTTGAAATACGTTGTCTATCTTGTCTATTCAAGATCAATAGACGCCAATTATTCGGTACGCGTTATAGCATTTTCTTGTACAACTGAACATATCAATTTGATGTCATTATGGTATTTTCCTATTCGTTTTCCGTTTTTGCCGGTCAATCGTTTATCCGTAAAAATTAATGTCGCCGAATCAAGTACAAGTGTTCCTTGTTCTATTGACTGTTTACATGGTGTTTGTATGTCATATATAAATTTGGTCAATGGACAGTATTGCTTGTGCGATGATGGCTGGTTAGGACAACACTATGATACGTCATCGATATTTGAATATTCAAACAAACCAAAATTGATCGATTCCAAATGTATTTGTCCATTGGGAAGATATGGTATTGATTGTAACGCCCTGTTTGATCCTTGCCGAGCGATTGTTTGCCGTCATGGTGGCACTTGTTTTCCATTGGATCCAAGAACATCACAAAAATACATTTGTATTTATACCAGAGATTGTTTGGGTGATGTTTGTCAATATTCGGCAACTAGATCGATTATTCATATGACCGATATACTCATTGATCCGTCCGTGTCTCGCATTCCACTTGTTGTTGTCCATTTGGTCGATCTTCGTGCTAATACCGGTATAATGGTTATTCTAGACCGTTTTAAGTACGAGAATGTTTTGTTTAGAACAAACATAGAGTCTGTACACGAATATGAAAGTTCTTTACCCAAATTCATTTTCGTCCAACTACTTTTTAATACAAAGAGTTTTTTTGGTGACTATTATATGGTTGCTGTGTTGTTGAAATCAGTAAATGCAATCGAAACGAAGATTTTACCATCAAAGCATTGTCCATATGTGGGAGAATTGTTGAACAGCAGAACAACTATGGAGTTTTCCTATATAAAACGTATCAAATTTTATCGCCTGCTTGCTTTAATCTTGGTACAAAATGTTTTTTTGATGAATTACACATGTGTCTTTGCGAAAGTGATACTCAAATGGAATGTTTTCTATTTAATCATTCAGCCGGCAATTGTACAGATAAAGGTTACTGTCAAAATGGTGGCCATTGTGTTGAACCGGTACAAAAACAGCCAATAGTCGATTTCGCTTGTGTCTGTCGACCTTGCTTTTATGGTCAACTATGCCAGTTTACAACAACAAAATATTCCATATCGTTAGAGGCACTCATTGGATCAGATATCTATCCAGATAAATCATTGAGTGAACAGTCAATTATAATCAAAATGGTACTCGCTGTTGTCATTCTAATGATTACTATTGGCCTTGTGTGTAACACACTATCGATAATTACTTTTGCTCAACCGAAAACCCAAGAACTCGGCTGTGATTTCTACATGATGCGCTTGTCGATCATAAGTCAGGTGGGTCTGATTGCTTTTGGTGCAAGATATATCTATTCGTTGATTAGTCAAACATCGGTTATACAAAATGTGAAATTGACATTGGGTACTTGTATTGCACTTGAATTTCTTATCAGTAGTCTTTCGTCGACATTCGATTGGTTAACAGCCTGTATTGCAATTGAGCGGGCATTAACGGCTGTAAAGGAGATTAATTTCGATAAAGCATTGAGAAGCATTGAGCAGAAAAGTAGCAAAATACGTGATGGTCGTAGTTCTCTTGTTGAATGTCCTCAGCGCTATCCATGAAACATTCAACCGTCACTTGATTGATGATCTTCGATTGCAGGGACATTCATAGTGTATATTGAAATTTCAAAGTAAATAGTTAGAGCAGTATGAAGTTGTAACAAATATCATCCATTTGGTAATTCCATTCCTCATTAATCTCTCGTCAACAGTTATTTTCATAATTAGTTTATCTCGTAGAAAGGCTGCATCAGCGTTGAATGCCGGTAAACGATTTTCTAAAATTATACGAGAACAAATTGTGTTCTATAAACCGTTTGTCATAAGTCCAATTGCGCTGGTTATTCTGGAATTTCCTCGTCTTGTTGTCTCATTTGCATTCGTGTGTGTGAGATTCCAGTGGCAAAAATATTTGTATTTGGCAAGCTATTTGATTTCAATTGTTCCCCTTATGGGCACTATTGTCATATTCATTCTGCCATCGTCAATATACTATACGGAGTTGAAAGAATTTCTAAATCGTAAAAGATCGTCATTGCAAAGTTTAATTTCGCGCTAGTTGTTTCCAAAGTGTTATTTTGTAACTTTTGTGTTATTTTTTATTGTTGTGTGTTGTACGCGAGTTGTTCTTTTTTTGCGCGTCTCAAATGTATAGATGTATTGTACTTTAATTGTAGAGAATATAGACTCAGTCAAGTGCAAATCAACGAAAGCTGGAAGTTTTTTGTTGCAGAATTGTAGTAAGTTATCGCTTTCTTGTTGTTGTTCATTTAATGTTTCTGTCTTATATATGTCAATACCATGTTTTTTCTTTTCTTAGTTGGCTTTAATAAAAAGTGAATTGGCATGCTTCGCTATATTTTCTTGGAAGAAAATCACGAAACTGAAGTCTTCTAATTAGAAAACGAAACATCTATCTTTTGTACTATATGCTCAAAGTAACCGTTATATGCATTAACCGACAGCAGACTTATTCGACTATGTTTATCACTGTTAACAAAACCAAAGGGAATAAACCTTGTCAGGACTGTCGGGACGAGGTCAGACTTTGGGAGGGTGCTTCATTGAGACAAGAATTTTTTTTTCAGAGAACACAAGAAAAAAAATTTCTGCTGGGAAAAATTGATTTATTTTTATTTTTGGTGGGGTG